CCTGGTTTTGCAAAGGAAATCTGCCTAAGAATTGCTAGTTAAGGCCAGGCACGGTGGCTCATGCCTGTAAATCCCAGCACTTTGGGAGGCCGAGGAGGGCAGAACACCTGAGCCCAGGTGTTCAAGACCAGCTGGGGTAACATAGGGAGATCCCTATCTCTACAAAAAAATTGAAAAAATAGTGAGTTTAGTTTTTTACTGAAATATCATAGTGTTTAATCTCCATTCTAGGTACTTAAAATCGTTTATGTTGCTATTGCCTCTCTCTAGTGCAATGGTTAACTATGTGTTCCTTTATTATGATGTTCATTTGTATTTTAAAAACATAAGAAACTGAGAATAGTCTTAAGCCATGTGATTGAAATAACTAGCCAGAGAAGTCTCTGTGTGCCTGTTTCTTCTGCAATATCAGATTAAAAGAAAGCTCAATAACCACTGAACCTAACCCATTGAAGTAGGCAGTAGTCTAGCTTCTGCTTTAATATACACAGTGTCAAGAATGTCAATTCAATGCAGCTTCTCCCATTGTAGTTTTGTCCCATTGTTTTAGTTTTAATTATTAGAAAGTTTGTCTCTATATAGTGCAGAAATCTGTTTTCCTGTAATTTGGGTCCACTTGGGGTAATGCTGCCCTTTTCTGCCAGACCAAATAATAAATTCACTCCTTTTTCCATAAAATTACTTGAAGACAGTTATTATGGTCCCCTGAGATTTCTGTTCTATGAGCAAAATTTCTTCAACCATGCTTCAGATGATACGATTTAAATCTCCTCACAAACCTGGTTGATTTTCTTTGGTTTCGCTGTAGTTTGTCCGGTAACAAATGGTGCCCAAAACTGAAGCAAAAACCAGTGAAGTATCTCCTTCATATTTCTTTTGATGCCAGTAGAAACGGGGTTCTTAGTTGAATGTGACAAATCCTAGCTGCTTTAAACACAGAAGAAATGTATTGAAAGTCTGTTATGTTACATATCTCAGGGAATAGCCAGGATCTCTAAAGAATCAAGCTTAGGAAAAAGGGCAGGAACCAAGAGAGGCGAGAAATTTATAGTTTCAGCTAAAATCACACCTTAAAACGAACCTGAGGAGGCGACCACTGCCAGACACTAGATACTGTGATTTGCAACACTGCCACTGCTGCCTGAAGAAACTGGCTTTTGCTGCTGCCACTGCTGTTGCCAGAATGAATTTCACACTGCCCCTGCTTCTTTTCGTTTTGTTTTGTTTTATTTTGAGACAGGGTCTTGCTCTGTCTCTCAGATTGGAGTGCAATGGTAAGATAATGGCTCACTGCAACCTCTGCCTCCCCGGCTCAAGCGATCCTCCCACCTCAGCCTCTGGAGTAGCTAGAACCACAGATAGGCACCATTATGCCCGGCTAATTTTTGAAATTTTTTTTTAGAGACGGAGTCTCACTTTGTTGACACTTTGTTGGCTGTCCTCGAACTCCAGGACTCAAGGAATCCTCCTGTCTCAACCTCTCAAAGTGCTGAGATTGCAGTCTTGCACCACGCCAAGACTGATGTTTTAAAGGGCTCACTTTGATTTCTGTGTGGTTTTGCAAGTCTGTCCCTAGATGCTAGATTTGTGCTCGGGCTCTTCAAATTTGAGAGGACCTATATGAATGAAGGCAAAGAAGTCCAACTAAGAGAAGTGAAAGTTATGCAAGACCAAATTAATCAAATAACAAGCAATCTCAAGCAAAGCATGATGTCTTTCAAAGTTATCTCCTGGCCCCATCTCTACTATGGCTCAATTCTGAAACCTAGGGAGAAAGGAAATTCATTATTTCCTTACGCCCTTTTCTTTATTTTTATTTATTTGTTTCAGACAGAGTCTGGCTCTGATGCTCGGGCTAGAGTGTGGTGACGCCATCTCAGTTCGCTACCATCTCTGCCTCCCGGGTTTAAGCAATTCTCTTGCCTCAGCTTCCCAAGTAGCTGAGATTACAGGTACGCGACACCGTGCCCAGCTAAGGTTTGTATTTTTAGTGCAGATGGGGTTTCACGATGTTGGCCAGGCTGGTATGGAACTCCTGACCTCAAGTGATCCGCCTGTCTCAGCTTCCCAAAGTGCTGAGATTACAGGTGTGAACCATTGTGCTGGTTTCCCTTTACTTCATTTTTAATGTGTCTCTGTTTGCTAGTTCCTTTCTCATGACCTATAAGCATCTCTACCATCAAAAAAACCAAAAAACAAAAAAACAAACCACCCTATGCTACCTTGGGTAAAGGTAGAAGTTACAAGCCTGATTTTTAGAGCCAGACTGCATGGGTTTGAATGTAATTCCAACATTTACTACCTCTGTGTCCTTGGGAAATTTTTTAAATGTCTTTGTGCCTTCGTATCCTTGCCTGTAAGAAGGAGATAATGCTATTTCCCATGGGGTTATTGTGAAGATTACATTATTGAATATTTGTAAATCTCTCAGAACAATGCCTGGCAGATAATAAATGCCATATGTGTTTGTCAAATAAAAATTAGTTATTTTTCAGGTTATATCCTGCTATAACTCTGCCGAAAGTAGGCACCAAACCTCATAATTACTAAATTTAGTGAATTAGTCAGTTCTTAGCTCATTTGACCTTCTATCAACCTTGACAAGATGGACATGTTGGTTCCTCCTGGAGTTCTCCCTTAGTAAATGAATACCTCTTTCCTGGTTCTACCCATATCTCTTTGATTCTTTTTTTTTTTTAGATGGAGTTTTGCTCTTGTTGCACAGGCTGGAGTGCAATGGCACATGATGTCGGCTCACTGCAACCTCCACCTCCCAGGTTCAAGCAATTCTCCTGACTCAGCCTCCTGAGTAGCTGGGATTACAGGCATGCACCACTACGCCAGGCTAATTATTGTATTTTTAGCAGAGACCTGGGATTACAGGCGTGAGCCACTGCACCTGGCCGTCTCTGATATTTTCTACTCTATGTTCTTTTTAATTTTCTTGGAGTTCTATCTTTGATCCTCTTTCATCCTCACATAATACCTGACAGAAAAATAAATCTGACAGAAAAAAAAAAGCCCCTAACCATTAGCATAATATATTTTAAAAGTCACTCCACTAATCTCTGTTGATCTCTTTAGACTCATCTCTCAATACCCACCACACGCAATTAATAGAACTTTCTGGAGTGTGTTAGTAGTGCTGCTTCCTCTGCCAAGAAATACCATTCCCAGCCCTACAATTATTCCCTAATTTTTCAGGATTTAAATACATTTTTCTTGATTCCTTAGGTGAATTTTCTCCTTTGAACCCCAAATATATTTTGTACATACCTGTGTCTCAGAACCTAACACAATAGGACCTCAGTATTTGTTAACAGACTAAATTACAGCACCTACATTAATATTTTGCATTAATTTATTGTCTTCAGGCAATTGTATATGCATGGAGAAAAAGATTTATTTATTAATCATTAGGTCTCAGGTGCTAAGCATTTACTTAAATGCAATAAATAGTTAAATTTACATTTCAAAATCTCTTCAGACATTTATTTATGCTGTGACTTCTGTAACAGCTTGAACATGTTTTCAGCTTTGAAAATGTATCAATTTGATGTTTATTTCTGTTGAAGAGCACGAGGCAAGAGTTCTCTAACATTTAAAATGGTGTTGATTGAGCAGTATCAGGTGGTAAGAGGAACACTTACATTTTTCCTAAGAAATGTGATAGACACATCTTTAAGGTCATCGAACAGCATGTGGCAGCCTGGGCATGGTGGTGCATGCCTGTAATCCCAGCACTTTGGGAGGCCAAGGTAGGAGGATCACTTGAGGGCAGGAGTTTGAGATCAGCCTGGCCAACATGGCAAGACCCCCCATCTCTACAGCCTGAGAGGAGTCTGGGAGGTTGAGGCTGCAGTAAGCCATAATGGCATGCCAACCTGGGCAACAGATTGAGGAAAGAAAGAAAGAAAAAGAAAGGAAGGAAAGAAAGAAAGAGAAAGAAGGAAGGAAAGAAAGAAGAAATAAAAAGAAAGAAAGGAAAGAGAAAAAGAAAGAAGCAAAGAGAAAGAAAAGAAAGAAAGAGAAAGAAAGAGGACGGAGGGAAGGAAGGAAGGAAAAAAAGAAAAGAAAGGAAAAAGCCAGGTGTAGTGAGGGAGGGAGGCTGCCGCACGTGGAAAGAAAACAGGAAGGAAGGGAGGGAGGGAGAAAGGAAGGAATGAAGAAAGGAAGGAAGGGAGGAAGGAAGGAAGGGAGGAAGGAAAGAAGGAGAAGGCAGGCAGGCATGTAAGCATGGGTGCAGTGGTATGAGGGAAGCTGAGGCAGGTGGATCACTTGAGCTCTGGAGACCGGTCTAGGCAACATGGTGAAACCCCGTCTCTACGAAAAATACAAAAATTAGCCAGGAATGGTGGTGCGCGCCTGTAATCTCTGCTACTCGGGAGGCTTAGGTAGGAGATTCACTAGAACGAAGGAAATGGAGGTTGCCGTCAGCCGAGACGGCACTACTGCACTCCAGCCTGGGAGACAGAGGGAGATTCCATCTCGAAAAGAAAAGAAAAGAAAAGAAAAGAAAGCGTATGGCATTGCAAGCCTGTGAATTATCGCTAGATGCTAAATTTGGGCTCGCTCCCGGAATTTGAGAGAAGTAAAGCACCCCTTCCCCCCTTAAGTCAAGAATATAAGGTTTTATTCTCCAAGAATGGCAACAACAAAGAAGAGAAATGGGTTCTAGGAACTGTGAGAGGCAAGGGTTGGAACACCACATACGCTAGAAACTCGTGGCCAACTGGATAGTGCTCTGGGTCGGGACTATATTTTTAGAAAGGGGGGATGGGGTGGGAGATGAGCAGGTCTTTTCTCTTTTTTTATTTTTTCTAGTGAGTCAAGCTCCTGATAGGAGATTCAGTGAGGGTTATACTCCAAGCTCCACCCCTTGGGCCTTAGCAACAGCGAAGGAAGAGGCTGCGATTGGAGGACCAGGTTAGCCCAAGATCCTGCCCCTTCCCGCGCCGTGTGGGGGCGGTACACGCGCGATAGTTCCGAGTGTGGACACCGAGGAGATGACTTCGCTTCAGAAGCGAACACTTTCTGAAAAAATGCCGGCAAAGCTTCCCAGTCGGAAAAAGGTTAACTTCCTAGATATGTCTCTAGGTATGTAGATCTCGGATTCCACTCCCCACTAGTTTGGGCTCGCTGGTCTTGAGCGCAAGACGTCGGCATAGCGCTGACTAGCAACGGCGGCGTCGGAGGAACACATCCATTTGAGGAGAGGCTTCCCCCTCAGGGCACCCCGCACCTCCCCCACCCTGAAAAACCTTGGAACTGCTTGGCCCCATCCCTCCTCTTCTCTCCTTCTTCTCACCTCCAGGCCTCTCCTTTCAAGTGGGGAACGCTGAGGGAGGCTGACAAAAAGCGTGTAGGGTGTAAGGATTGCTGAAAGGTGCAGGCGGGGAAAATATAAAGACCGCTATTTCCTTGTGTTTTACTCTCCGAAGAACTCATCTACTGGCCGCCTTCAAACCAAGTGCTCTTCTCAGTCCAAGCGGATGTCATAAATCACTAGATTGCAGGGCCAGGAGGAGCAAGCCTTAGGCTATTTTACTTGGGATCCCGGTTTGGGCGTGCCAAGAGCTGGTGGGTTGGTGTATCTGCTTTGTTGGCTGGTGGTTATTCGAAGGGGTGGTTGGTGCGTTTATTTGCTTGTTGGCTGGTGATTATTCGAAGGGGTGGTTGGTGTGTTTAATTGTTGGCTGGTGGTTATTTGGTCTGGATTGCCTTTCTTTGCTGGCTCTCTCTAGTCTCTAACCTCAGACCTCTACACGGAGAGTGGAGCCTTCAAAAAAAAAAATAAACCCTTTGTCAAGGCCCCTAACCTCCTCCCTTCGCACCAAACCCAGAAAGAGTGGATTTTGCTTGGACCAGTTTCTCTGCTATCATCCATCTTAGAAATGGGGGAGGTAGGGACGGAAGAGACATTCCAAGCAAGAAGGGAAGTGAGAGTCAGCTGGGTGTGGTGGCTCACTCCTGTAATCCCAGCTATTTGGGAGGCCGAGGTGGCAGCTCACTTGAGACCGGGAGTTCGAGACCACCTGGCCAACATGGTGAAACCGCATCTTTACTAAAAGTACAAAAATTAGCTCGGCATGGTGGTGCGTGCCTATAGTCCCAGCTATGCGGGAGGCTGAGGCAGAAGAAGTGCTTCAATCTGGAGGTGGAGGCTGCAGTGAGTGGAGATCACGACACTGCACTCCAGCCTGGGTGCCAGAGTGAGACTCCATCTCAAAAAAAACAAAAACAAAAACAAAAAGGAATGAAACAAAGAGGGGCGCGGTGGCTCACACCTGTAATCCCAGGAGGAGGAGGTCAGGCTGGTCTTGAACTCCCGACCTCAAGTGATATGCCTCTCACATCTCAGCCTCCCACAGTGCTAGGATTACAGGCTTGAGCTACCGCGCCCAACCCAAACTTTCTTTATAGTGTCCTTTGAAGTCCCGAACTTTCAAATTTTGAAAAAATACAGTTTATCTGTTTTTTGCTGCTGTTCATGCTTTGCTGTCATATCTAGAAAATCATGAAGATATACTTTTGTTTTCTTCTGAGAGTTTTTTAGTTTTAACTCTTAAATTTACATCTTTGATCCATTTTGAGATATGGGGTGAGTTAAGAGCCAACTTCATTCTATTGCATTTTAGCATATAATTGTTCCAACACTACTTGTTAAAAAGACAAATTTTCCTCCCATTGAAAGTTCTTGATTTCAATTGCTTTCTTAATTTCAGTTTTGGATGGTTCATTGCTGGTATATATAAATAGAATTAATTTTTGCATATAGATCTTATATCCTGCAACCTTGTTGAACATGTTCATTAGCGCTATCTCCCTCCCTTTCTCTCTCTCTTTCTCTCTCTCTCTCTCTCTTTCTGTGTGTGTGTGTGTGTGTGTGTGTGTGTGTGTGTGTATCTTTAGGAATTTCTGCATGCAAGATCATGACATCTGAGAACAGAGATAGTTTTACTTTAATCTACTTGCCTTTTATTTCTTTTTCTTGACTAATTGCTCTGGATACAATTTCTAGCAAAAAGTTAATTAGATACGGTGAGATTGGACATCCTTGACTTGTTTCTGATCTTAAGGAGAAAACCGTTAATCATCATTTCACCTTTGGTTGGGTTTTTGTAGATACCCTTATGAGGTTGAGGAATTTACCTGCCTCTCACTTTACCTCTGAAGGGGAATGGCCATGAAAAGTAATTAAGTCTTTTTTGTTGTTGTTGTCTTTAAGGTGTTCTTAGCACTCTATTTCAAGATTGGTATCAACAGTCTTTCCTCTCCTAAGACATGGTCCCTGTTGATCCCATACTGCTACTTCCACCCACCCCAACTTCGTCACAATTTCTGAAATATTTTGTGGAATTAAAATAACTTTAAAAAAATAATATTTTGTCACTGGCCAGGGCTGGGACTAGGGTGAGGTAAATGAGGCACTTGGTTCTAGTATAAAGTTCAAGGAGTCACAAACAGTTTGTTAATAGGGATAATTAATATTTTAATGAAATACTTGAAAAATTAAATGGACAAACTGTAGCCATTTGTCTGGCCACCTGTTTTTGTAAATAAAGTTTTCTTGACCTAAGAACTAGAGTGAAGCAAGTGAAGGAGGGCTGTGCAAGTACAGAGTCTGATATGATCCTTTTTTTTTTTTACAATGGGGTCTCACTGTCACCCAGGCTAGAGCATAGTGGCACGATCACAGCTCACTGCACCCTTGACTTCCTGAGCTCAGGCAATCCTCCCACCTCAGCCTCCCAAGTAGCTGGATTACAGGTGTGTGCCACCATGTCCAGCTAATTTTTTGTATTTTTGTAGAGACGAGTTCTCACTATGTTGCCCGCATGGGTCTCGACTTCTTGGCTCCAGAGATCCACCCACCTTGACCTCCCAAAGTGCTAGCATTACAAGCCTGTGCCACCACGTCAGGCCTTTGAGCCTATCTTTTTAAAAAAAACGTTTGATATCTTGTTCATCATGGATTGGTTTTGCATTGATTTTCATTTTTGAAAATATTGTGAGGTCAGGCTCCGTGGCTCATGGCACTTTGGGAGGCCAAGGCAGATGGATCAACTGAAGTGAGGAGTTAGAGACCAGCCTGGCCAACATGGTGAAACCCCGTTGCTACTAAAACTACAAAAATTGGCTGGGCATGGCGGCGGGCCCAGGAGGCGGAGGTTGCAGTGAGCCGACATCGTGCCTGGGCAACAGAACTAGACGCAGTCTCGAAAAAAAAAAAAAAAAAAAAAAAAAAAAGATAAAAAAATGAAAATATTGTGTTAAGATACTTTAATCTTGATTACTGAGCTTTGGGGGGCCTCCTTGAATTTTGTACGTGAAGTGAATTCCTCACTTACCTGCCTTGTCACTGTGACCTAGAAGGGAGAAAAACCCAGAACTGAAGGAAATTTATAGCACTGTGGTAAAATTTCATCTTCCTGCACTTTGTGTTGATTTCACTGATGTTTTGCAAATGTTAACAGAAAAGAAAAAGCAAAACTGCTAAATACCTAAAGCAATGGGTTTATCTCAAAATTCAGAGAAATAAGGGCCATAGTTGCAGAGTGGCCTGGTCCCAAAAATGTAGTAGTTGCGTGACCTTGTGCAAGTTGCTGTATCTCTTGAGGCCTGAGTTTCCTGATCTGAATAAAAACTACATCATAGAGTGGTTGAAGATTAAATGAGATAATATAGGTAATGTTCACAAAGTATGGTGCCTGATGTGGAAAAAGCTGAGTAAATATTTGCTATATTTGCCCCAGAAAGTGGGCCTAAATCCTCACTTTTGGGTAGCCAGCAATTTGGCAAGCTGGAGAAGTTACCTCAGGATTTTGAAGTTATCAAACTTCAGAGATGTGATAGACTTGAGAGAGATTAAAAACCATCCAGGCGACAGATGGTGTTTAAACAGCTCACGTCAGTTTCTGGGAGACTGAGGGAGATGGTAGTTTGGTGTAACTTGAATAATAGTGAAGTCAACGGACTTAGGAGGCACTTACATTTTAATAAATGGTTACAGCTGGAAGGATCCTGGAGCATCTGCTTTAGGAAGGATTGGTTTAGTTATTTGAAAGGCTAAAGAAAGATGTTGAGTTGCATATGGTAGATTAGTTGGACTGTGAGATCTCATAGTCATCGAGTTGTAAAAAATCAGGTCACTGCGTTATCCTTTTAAATGTTGGTTCTCTATATCCATATTTATACCTTTTTTAGACAGATGAGAATCCCAGTTTTGATCATGTCAGGAGGAACGGCAAAACTTTTGACTAGTTATCACAGGCTCTTGCAGTTTATTTGTTTATTTTATTTTTATTTATTGTTTTGAGATAGTGTCTCTGTCGCTGAGGCTGGAGTGCCGTGGCACAATCATGGCTCACTGAAGCCTGGACCTCCCAGGCTCAAGCGAACCTCCACCTTTGCACCAGAGTAGTTGGGACTCTAGGTGTGCGCCACCACACCCGTCTCATTTTTGTATTTTCTTTGGTAGAGATGGAGTTTTGTCATGTTGCCCAGGCTGGTCTCCAACTCCTGGGCTCGAGCTATCCTCTCACCTTGGCCTCCCAAAGTGCTGGGATTTTGTGAGCCACCGAGCCAGGCCAAGGGCCTTGTAGTTTGAAGGCAAGAAAAATACATCATAAACAGCAGCAAATACATGTTGCTTTCTATGATGTAATGAGAAAGCCATACTTTTTCCTGATGAATTTCCCCATGTTTTTCTCAGTGAAAATAATACTTTGTAACAATGCATATCTTTGATTTTAGGTAACTAAACATATGCTTTAGAAAGCAGTATTATATTGGATGCAAGGTTATTACTTCCATTGTAATAACATGCTAAAGTGGGAAAAGGCTCTATAGATTTATTTTTGTTTTTGTCATCAGTAAACATACCCAAAGGTATTTTTTGTACAAATAAAAAAAAATTAGAGTCTTTGTTTTTTTACAAATAAAATGCAAAAATAAGACCAAAATTCAAACTAGTAACAGTAAAACTTAATAGGAACTGCACTCCTCTGTTCATTGCGTTTACCTAAAAGAGACTGAGGCAAAAGTGCTGGAGTTAGAAAGAAAAGAAGTCTTTCTGCCTGCTAGATATATTGGAC